TTGTTTTATGATGGTGTTGTGAAGGTTTTGGCCTACAATATGTTTTTTTTTTTAATCTGTTCATTGAGGAGAAGTACATGCCGGACATTTTAGGGCTCAGTAGTCCCTAAAGACTTTATTTTTTCAGACTTTCATCAACATTACATAGACTCCAAAGTCACATGTCGATTTACTGGTCATTTTGGAAATTATATTTGCACTGTAGACATCGGGACCCCTGGTTCCATTCACCACCACTGAAAAGAAACTGGTTGTGTCTGTTGTAAAAATCTCATCCACTGAGATATAACTAGTTGGAGCCCATGCAGAAATTGAAAAGTGGTGTTTGACTTCGACGTCTCATTTCCTCCCATTAAAGAAAGTTTTAAGTAGCAAAATAGTGAAATAAATGAATGATGATGGCAGGGAAGAATTTTATTTAAAGCAGGAATTTAGCTTGTAATATCACAAAGCCCTTCTTCTTTGGTGAGTTATATTACCTTGAATGATCTGAAGTTGCATTAACCTGAAAAGAACTTTTTATTTGACCATACTTGGGTGCTTCTCCCGTGGATACACAGATAACGGAAAATTATTTTCTTACTTTCAATTTCATACTCACTGATAATGATCAGGCTTGTAAGGGGGGGGGGTGCACATTAAGACAACCTGTGGCCTCAGATGCCCTGCTCTGCTATAGACAGATAAACAGAAAAGCTGTCATTTCTTTCATTCTCTTCAGAGACTGAACTGAGGACATGCTTTCAATTGCATACCTGTCCACACATTTGCAGACTTCCGTATGATAAATTGTAGCATTCATTGAGTCATTCTGAGTGGTTTGATGTGAAATGTTTCATCTGTAGAGAAACTTATCAACTCAGATTTCTTTACAGTGGTGGTCATAGGAACCAAGGGTCACAATGTCAAACACAAAAAAAAGCCATTTTATTTACTACCCAAAAACATCAGTGAACCTACACGTCTTCTGAGTTTATATGTGTAATGCTGATGATGGTAAAATAACGGTCAACCTGAAAAAAAGTTTTGCAAATTTTGCCACAGAACACCATTTATGTATCTCTCCACCATGAATGGATTAAAATAAATTGATTAAAATATGTTTTAGACCCAAAACTTTATTACATAACTACTGTCAAATAATGGCTCAGGCATCAAGCAGTATTCACAACCATTTCATGTTATCATTTTCTGTGAGGGAGCTTTTAGAGGCATTAAACTCCTCAGACGTCTGGTTCCTATCAACACCACTGTGAACAATTCTGACTCTGTACGTTTCTCTAGAATGAAGCATTTCTCACTGAACCACTTTTGGATGATTTTGTGGACATGTTAACCATTTAATTATGCAGAAATTTAGAAAAATCAGTGTAGTTCTTCTTTAAAATTGATTCTGAAAGTTGCCCTTAGCATTTTGACCTGAAATCAGTGATGTGTGGTGTTTCTGGTTATCTTGCTGGTGTTAATGTGCAGCTGAGATGGTCCGGCCCACACACTGAGAGCACTGAGGCATGATGCTAATGTGGCGAATGCACAGTCCCACCTTATATCTTGCCAGTTCAAAATGCGATACTGGGCCAAGAGCTTTAAGACCTGATATTTTTATCTAAATCTGTATATATCCTAAGAACTTTGCATCCAAGCCCCAACCTGAGCAACAACACGAAATTTTAAGTTCTTTCTTCACTTCAATCGGACGTCATTTTATGTGACCCAACCTGATCCATATTATCAAGTTTTGAATCTGAAAACTGTCCGAAACTGACCCATCCCATCATGCCAGATAGATCCTGGTCGAATAGCAGAACTGCATAGTGACAATAATAGCCGATTAATAAAATAAAAAAATAATTCTAAAATAAAAATAATGTAAAATAATATGATACATTAAAATCATCACTTGTCCAAAATGTAAGAAGTTTAATTTCTGCTTTTTTGCATGTATTCATCAAGCAATACTTTCTAACAACATCCCAAGCATTTTTATATGGGAATTGTGGGCCAGTGATGATATACATATACTCATGTACATAATGTGTAGTGCCGATACCAATACTAAAACATAAACATTTATGAAATATATAAATTAGAACTACCTGGCTTAGCATTACAGAAACATGTTACATATATTTGTACATGGTACATAGATAACATGCAGTAAAATAAATAAAATGCTGATACTGATATGATCCCAATATCATTGTGTATCTATTTTTTTTTCCATAATGAGCTGTTCTCATGCTGTGGTGCTGATATCACCAAATGGTAGCCTTTTCCTGTTTAATCCTAAAAGTAATATAATATATATTACATGTAACATACAAATAATAAAAATATAATGGACCAAATAAATTTGGCTTCACTCACTGTGCTCTCCTGAATAGATTCCAACCCTTCACATAATTAAAGCTCTAACTAGGCCGCTGACATTGTAAAATGACTTCCATTTTTGTTTCGTTTGTACTAAATTAATTTCCCACGTACACGTTAAGGCACGTGTACAGATGGATGAGAGGGGGGCTTGAGCCGCTGCCCCTTTGCCCCTGGACTCTAAAACGCCCTCTTGGTTGAAGTGTGCAATAATTGTATTTTAAATTGCCTCCACCATTCTTCAAGATCCGTTTCATTGAGATGGGTTACTGCCTCGCTGTGGGAATGGGTCAGTTTGGGTTCTGTGAGATTCATTGCTTTTTGTTACCCCCTCTGGTGCAGTACCAACTACCTGTGGTTCTCATCAGTACCTCTAACCCAGCACTGGAAATCTCACCAAAAAAATGTTGTTAATCTATTTAAGAAAAAAATTACCAGCATTTTACTTTTAAAAAGCAGCAGACTTTCCTCAGTAACTCCTACACCGCGCTGGAAATCCCACCAATAAAATGCTGATAATCTCTTTAAAATGTTGGTTATTCTGAACAACAAAACATAATGTAATTTGTAGTATATTATTACATATAATACATTTATAATATTATGTATTGTAATGAATAATTTTTATTTTTAGATATAATAATGACAGAGTAATGAAACAGCATGTCAGATTTGACATGTTCCTATTCATGTGTTTGCTTGTTTAAAAAGGCAGTTTGTGAGGCAAACTTTTTTTTAGCTTTGTTAGATCATGTTCTTTACATTTCATTTATTTCCAAAAAACAAGTATTTCTTTTATTTTTTCCAAATTTTCATTTTTCTATATGTATAGCAGCTGCCTTTTACATTGTGTGAAAATTTCATAATGAATGGACCAACAGAAATGCTTAAAAATGGTTTGGAATAATATCTCTTCACATTAACTTACACTGAAAGTAATCAGTTGATTAACAGAAAAGAGTAGTTAAACGACTAAAACAGCCAGTTTTCTCACTCAAAAGTATTTGTAAATCAAATCTGTATAGTTAATTTAGAGATGAATGTTTTCCGGAGGAATGAATTTGTGGTTAATCAGGTGGCGCTTTTACAGATTTCACATGAAAATCAGAAAAGCTTAAGGAAAGTAACTGGAAGTTTTCACTATATTGCTCCAGTGTTCAAAAGTTGGGTCTTTGGTAAGACCTGTGTTGTTCGATTGTATTGGTTGTAATTCTCAAAATGCACTGTATAGTAAAGTATTTGCTCACTGAATTCTGCAACTGCCCAGTGGTTTTCAGCAGGTACACAGACCCCTTAGCCCTCAGACTGTACAAGCTGGTGTGTGTAATAATTATATTTTACATCGTATCTGCCATTCTTCAAGATCCGTACCAGTGAGATAGGGCGCAGCCTCGCCACGGGAATAGAGCTCAGCTCATAGGTTGGCTTGGGTTCTACAACATTTGTCGCTATTGGGTGCCCCCTCTGGTGCAGTACAAACCATCTTTGGTTCTCCTCAGTAATTCTGACTTATCACACCTCAGAAAGCTGGAAATCCCACCAGTAATACGCTGATGATCTCTTTAAAAAAGTCTCCCATTCAATAATGTGGTTATTTTGAACAACAGCCAAACATAATGTCTGCAATAAGGGATGTGAATAATTTCTACAGGGAAAAATGGATTTGTATGAGTGGAGCTCTTAAATAGAGTTAGGAATAGATGCTACATAGGGATTAAGTAATGCAGTGAATTATAATAATAATAAATTTTACTTATATAGCACACCTTTCATGACAACGTCAACTCAAGGTGCTTTACAGAAAAATAAACAAAACTACGTTTTTGAAACATTTAAAAAGAAGAGTCTTAAGATTCTACCTAAAAAGATCCAGAATTTCTTAAAACAAAACAAAATCCATAAAGCACTTCTAAAAGGAAAACTCTTAAAAGATCCAGAGTTTCTAGAACAAAGCAAAATTAATTCATAAAAACAGGTCTAGAAAGAAATGTCTTAAGATTATTCTTAAGAAAAGAGATGATACCGAAGACGATAACACCACAGTGTTAATGGTAAATAGGACCACGGCTTTGCACGTTTGTGACTGGGGCTCGAATCCAGTGAGGATAGTAACGTTAGTGCTTTTGGCTGCCTTTGAAAAAATTCCTGACACTACATTTGGTTTTATCTGAAACATAATTAATGTGTCTCTCCTCATAAGAGAGATTGTAATATACAGTAAATTCAATTTAAAAAGTTTAATTCTTGTTCATGTTGCCCATTTTCCCCTTAAGTACCCCCCCTCCAAAATGCCTGGTTCATATTGCTTGTCAGCTCTTATTCTCAATCAGTATAAAGCCACCTGCCAACATTAGAACGTTTGCGATTGTTGGAGGTCATGGTTGGTGTTCTCTGGGCTGAAGGGGTTACTCTGCTATTATTGTTATTGATTCCACTGAGTTCTTGCTCCTTACACCTCAGCTAAATCTTCGCTTGAAGGATAGCTTGGAGCCTCTCTCAGAACAGGGCATCTGATCACATCTGCAGATTGCTAAAAAACTTGCGTTTGAGTTCCGTAGACTTTTCTTCGCAGTAAGGTTTTCTCTGCTCTATTTGGACTTATCGCTGACTGTTTTGTCTGTGTTTTCCAGGTCAGGTGTGCTTACGTGACCGTCTGACATTTCGCCTCTGCCAGACCCTCAAGTGGCTCGGCCAATGTGACCAGCCTGCCGCTCGCTCCCAGTGCTGCAAAACCTGTGATCGGCATCATCGCGGCAACGACCGCGCTACGCGCCGCTGAGAGGGAAGGGCACGGGACGAGTGACAGTTTTAAGCCAGGGAATTTGTCTTTCTCAAACAAAATGCCAAGCCAAACTAGGACAGTCTTTCTACTTTGGCTTGTTGTTGTCACTGGCCTACGGGATCCTGCAGAGGCTTGTGAAGGAGGTGCTTTCCCCCTATTGTTGCTGAGACACAAGCGATACATTGTACATGGAGGACTTCAAATACCGTCTCATTATTGATTGAAGGAAGTTTATTCACTGAGCGCAGTTTTAACTTTCTTCACAAATACAAGTCCATCGATCTCGTTCACAGCAGTGATCAATTTAGATGAGTGGCAGTTGAAAGTCTAAGAGCATTCACAAATCTGCAGTTACTTCAGAACTGAATAGAAAGAAACCTCACTATGTCGCTGTATAACTGTGCCGACTTCTTTGTGTTTTGCTTTTAAAACTGACAGTAAGTCTCTGTTCATTTCCAGTATTTTCTGAACCATGTGTTTAGGGCTTTGACTAGTTCAGTGTTAACTATAGAATGAACTAAAATCTCCAACAATGCTTTCTGCTGATCGCAGCTGTTACCTAACCATAATACAAGCCTAGAGGACGTCTAAGGAAACGGTGCTGCAGAAATCACCTGGTGCTATTGGCAGGTTTGTGCCACTATTGGTGGGCTATTGCCTTTGTCTACTTGAATTTGTTCACAGGCTATTAATAGGACTCGACTTTAAACTTTTGTTAAAGAAATAGTTCAGCGAAAAATGTACACAACTTTCCACTTAGCCCGGATGCAGTCTATTAGTCAAGACATGTTTAGTGTCCAAATTTTGCTTCTGTAGTTCAGCGCTGGAGCTGTGAGGCTAAGGATGCTAAATCTTACATCTCTAAAACTTCGCTCAACCCACTCAAACTGAATCCAGGTCTTCATTAAGGTTGTTAACTTACTGTGAACTATAAAAATGAACAAAACTTTACCGTGCAGCTGAACGCCGCAGGCAGCCACTGAGAGAGGTTTCGGGGATGTGTTTGGGTGACTGTTGGCTTCTAGTGTTTGTTAGCAACATTAGCCTCAAGGCTCCAGCACAAAACTAAAGAAGTAAAGTTTGGATACCAAAGATGTCTTGGCTGATCCACTACATTTGTGATAAAGGTAGAATTCATTTCCGAAGCATTTGTGATTACATTTGTTTTGAATATTAATCGGGAATGTGTTACTATCATTACAGGCTTTTGACAGTAGGTGCAGTCTTGAAAATAAAGGTACTAAAAAGGGTTCTTTGGAGCTTTTTTGTTCCCTAAAGAAACTTTCAGTGAATGGACCTTTTAACCACTTCTATATCAGTGGAAGGTTCTATACCAAGTAGAACCATTTAGTGCCCTTTATTTTTAGGAGTGTACACTGAACTAATATGCGAGTCATATTCCATTAGATTGTTCTGGGAAAATATTTCCAAAAGTTACTTGGCGCTCAGAGAGATTATGCTTTTCAAAATTGTGTCATTTGCGATCTTCAGGTAAAATGTTATCCCACATTGTTTTATTTTTCAATATTATTTATATACTGGGTAGTAACATGTTTTGTACAGTGTATGTGCCGAGTCATAATGCATAATGTAGCAAAAATGCTGATACATATTAGAATCCACTCACAGTCCACTTTTCTAAAATCTCCTGCCCTGTGCTTTAACTCACTGGCCACTTGACATCCTTTTATAAGTCTACTATATACAGATGTATGCAAAGGTTTTGGCACCCCTGGTCAAATTACATGTTTTCATTTTCTTTTTCTAAGAGAAAACAAGGTAACAAGGATGTGTTCACATATTGTCACTTAGAAAATCAACAAAAACATGTAATTTGACCTTTTGCCTATGACATAGCTCATCTGTTGTCATGCACAATTTATTCCTGCTGCCCATTTATCATTGGTCATTTTCTTAGCACGGGATCACTACTGACCAAATATTATTTAGGTAGCGGACCATTCCCAACACAATAGAAAATATGAATAAAAAATGTACAAAAATTCCCTTTCTCTCTCTTTCTCTGTCTCTCTGTGTCTCTGTCTCTGTCTCTAGGTGCTCTGTGGTCAAAAATAGACCATTAATGAAGGGCTAGAGGTTAGGTTGCACAAATTGTGCATCAGCAGATGGGCTGCTGTCTCTGTACACCAGGTGGAGCTTCCAGGTAGGGATTTCTAATAAAGTGGCTGGTGCGTGTAGATTAGTAAGCTCTAAGCCTGACTGACTTAAATGTACGTAAGCCAGAAATGAATTTGGCTAAAGTTGCTGAAAGGCATTAGTTGTGGACGTGTTCTTCATTGTTCGTCCTCCACCAAAGAACTAGAGGCGAATGGCCCTCTCAGCACTTTCAATTATTACTCCTAAATTAAGTGATGTCTTTAAATTTGTATGCGTCATTTTCCAACACTCAAGTTTAGTGACCTTTCAGCTCTTCTGATGGCCTTATCAGTTACAGTCATGCTGAGATCCCCCAAAGCGAGAAGACTTTGGCATGAAGGAGCACTCGGACACTAATGACACTGTCCTTAAAATTAAGAGAACACATCTACTTCATTCCCCAGTCAAGTCATGTAGTTTATAGTGGGAGTTTAATTACTGATGAATTTGATTTGTAATGTAAGTCAAGGAATGAACTTGTTCATTTGTGAAGGCTTTGTGTGTCAGTCTGAACTGAGATACATTTATCTTGGACCATCTGAGAATATATTATTGGGACTGGGACCCGTTAAGCTTGCTCTTTCTTGGTTGACTAAATGTGATTACTCAACATGCCTGTTCAGTAAATGTGTAATTTAGGGTTTTATGTCATACTGAGATATTTCCATTCATTTAGTTGGTACAGATTACAGTGTATTCTGACTGTTTTAGCTTCTTTCTTCTTCTTTCGTAGAGAGGAAGGGTGAAAACTTTGTAATATCTTACATTTGTATCTCTTTGATTAAATGTTTCTAAATCATATTTGCTGTGAGCACATTTATTCAAGTCTTACATTGTTCAGATAACACAAATACATCATTTCCACATGAATAAAATGCTACATAAGTGATGCATACATTTGAATCAAGTAAATTCAATGTATTACTTTTTTCAGTGTATGCTGTACATAAATAAGACACTTTTTTACTCCACTTATACTTTTATGTACTTAAGAACTGGTAATTGAAGCATTGAAAGGAGAATTTTGGAACATTTCTGCATAATTAAAGGATTAAGATGTAAACAAAGTCATTCAGAGTGGTTGAAGTGAACTACTCTCTTCCAAGTCAGAATTGTTCACAGTGGTGGTGAGTGGAACCTCACATCCAAAGCATTTCGTGCTCTAAAAGCTCTGAAAAAAAAAAAACAGCTAAAAGCTCTAAAAGCTACCTTGCAGAAAGTTGTTACACATAATCATTATGAACACTGAGAGATTGTTTTATGATGGCCTAAAATCCATTTATGGTGGAGAGGTACATGCAGGATGTTTTAATGCAAATAGTCCCCAAAGAAAGCTTATTTTTTCAGATTTACCACTATTTTACCATCATCAGCATTACATATAAAAACCTCAGAAGACACGTGTAAATTCACTGGTTTTTGTAGGTAGTAAATGAAATTGCCATATTTATGTTGTGGACATAGTGACCCCTGGTTCCCATCACCACCACTGTAAAGAAAGTTTCTCTACAGTGAACCAGGTACAATGAGTTTGTTTACATCTGATGTACGATTGCGCTTTTCCCTTCAAATGCCACAAACAGAGAATTCAGAACAGTCTGTGCCGTCCAATCACTGTCTTTTCTGAATTACTGGAAGAAAAACAGATCATGTTGCTGTTCTAAATTTCATAGCCCCAAAACTAAACACAAGACCCAACACTGACTGATATGATGAGACAAATTTACCAGCTCCGAATCATTTATTTATATTTGCAGTGTTTGTAAACTCAAAAATCAGAATGTATTTTGCTTCAGAATTGGATGGAATAGTTCTGCTGGGACAAATCAGGCACCTAAAAGAACTAATCTTCGAGAACCAGTGGGAATATCCCCTGTGTACCAGACACGGCTTTATAAATCCCTGATATTGGCTCTGAAGAAGCTTTGAAGTGTGTTGCTTAACAACAGGCTCAATATGAGTGTGTTATATAAGAGCAATTGCATGGCAGGGATGGATCCTTATTTTATGTTGACAGCAGGTATTTTGGGTACAGTGGGGCAAAAGTGACTTGTTATGTACGAACTCAGAGTCTTCATCTATACATCAAGGCTTTCTCTACCGTATGTCAGGCGTCTGAAGCAGATGAACAGGGGGAAGCATGTATACTGCATATTTTAAAGCCGCGCTCGCTTTCATCTACCCATGATGTGCTGTACACAAAGAATGTTTTAGAAGAGAATTTCAGAATGTCAGATTTCTTATAAGGTGCTTATATGTTTCCTTTTTTTCTTCTTTCTCTAGACTTCCTGGACCATTAAAGTCACTCTTGAAAATGCATAGTTCAACACTAGGTTAAAGGCTGCACAACGTTTTAATGAATGCCATTTATTCATATCACTGTTGTCAGAAGAAAACCTCATATCTCCAAAACGGTAACTTTACAGGAGAAGGAAAAAACATACTTTACTTTTAATGTAAGTCAACGGAACCAGACTTTTTTACAAGTCATTTTGGGCTGTTTCTATTGGTCCATTAATCATGAAATTTACAAACAATGTAAAGAGCAACATGCATTTTCAATGTATGTCAAAAACTGAAAAATGCTTTTTAAAAAAGCTTTATTAACCACTTAAAATCCCAGAATTGTTACATAATAAGGCTTATTATTCAGTAACTACAGGGACTTCAATGCAAATTGGTTGAGCTAATCTTAGGTTATAGAAGTGTATAATAAAACTTCGGGCCCTGGCCATTTAAGGGGTTAAGTTTCTTCAAGGTTCAACAATGAAAAAAGAACAAAAGGAACTCAAAACTAGGACTTAAACTCTAAGACTAGTTTTTTTTCTTTATTATCTCATAACAACAGCACGTATGAAGATCTGGGAATTATTAGACGGTAGCCAAACAGTTGATTCCTGTAGTCGACATGTAGATATGGGTGAAATGGGCATGAAGACCTGAGCGACTTTGACAAGGAACAAATCATTATGGCCAGTTGACTGGGTCGGAGCATCTCTGAAACAGCAAGACTTGTGGGATGCATCTACTGACAGCGGTCTGATGAGGGACAAACGTGTTGGGCACCCAAGGTTCATCAATGTGCAAGGGAGCAAAGACCATTCTGCCTGGTCTGAACCAACAGAAGGGCTACTGTGGCACAAGACATAGAAATTTTTTTAATGATGGTTAAGGAAGGAATGTGTCACAGTGCATTGCACCCTGCAGCGCACAAGGCTGCGTAGCCACAGGCCGGTCAGAGTGCCCATGCTGACCTCGTCCACTGTCGAAGGCCGCTTGGTCCAATAAGTCCGGTTTCTTTTTCATCACATGGATGGCCGTGTATGTGTGCGCCATTTACCTGGGAAAGCGATGGCATCAGGATGCACTGTAGGAAGAAGACAAGCCAGTAGAGGAAGTGTGATGTTCTGAGCAATGGTCTGCTGGGAAATTCTGCGCCTGGGATTTTATGTGGATGTCAAATTGGCACATCACCTACCCAAACATCATTGCAGGCCAGACAGACGTCTTCATGGCAGTGGTATTCCCCGATGGCAGTGGCCTTTCAGCAGGTAACGTGCCCTGCCATGCTGCACACATAGTTCAGGAATAGTTTGATGAACATGATGAAGTGTTAAAGATGTTGATCTGGCCACCAAATTGCCCAGATCTCAATTTGATCGAGGATCTGTGGGATGTGCTGGAACAACAAGGTCAGTCCCCACTGTTCCAATGTTTTGGCTCATTGTTTATTTGCATGTTTTTTTTTTAAACAAAAGTGTTAGATGTAGTATGTAAGCAATGCTAAAGCATGTCATTCACTCCCCAGTCCATATAAGCTAACTTAGTTGCAAAAACTCTTATTATATTGCAAAAACCAACAGATTTACTTATATACTTATATCCACCAACAGCAGTGTAGCTCCGCCTATTCACGCTGAAGTTATAAGGAGTGTTTCAGCCTAAATTGGATTTTCAAGGAGGAAAAAAACAGGGCAATCGTAACAACGATCATTAGCATATATCAGTCTTAAAGGCACAGTAACAAAAACAGCCTATTCAATTCCAAATAGTAAAGAGAAGTTGGAAAATGCCATGTAAAAATGATTTTTTACTGATTTTGGTACATAAAACTATAGAAATATCAGAAGTCGACATCAGAAGCTGCAGTCTTAGTGGTTGGGGTTTTGTAGCTTTTCAGGCTTTGTAAGCTTCAGGTTTAGCAGGTACACCATCTAACTGCAGCTAGAACTATCGAGCTTAGGTCCTGGGGGTCCACAGCCCTTAGGAGATTAGTGTTCTCCCTCTTCTAACACTTTGAATTCAACTCTTGAAGGCCTTGCTAATAAGCTGACGAGTTGAATCAGGTGAGTCTAATGAGGTACACTGCTAAAGTCTGCGGTGCTTAGGGCCTCCAGGACTGAAGGACGATACCCCAGATATAACCTGTCAGCTGCAATGATTACTGATGGAGGCTTTAAGGTGTCTTTTGTCTAGAGAAGTGAAACAGTGCCCCCTCCAGGACAGTTGGTAGTATGCAATGCAATATTGTCTACTGGTTTACTGGCAGTTCTTCCTGAACTGAACAGCATGTTTGTGTTTTCCTGCTCGAAATCATCTCATTCTACTCATAATGGGCTTTCAAAACTGGTGCCCTGCATTTTACATTACTGTGCAGTATAGAGGTGCTAAAAGCAAGTATAACTGTTTAATAGGTCATGAATAGACGCAAAGTAATTACTTAAATGTGGAGGTTATCAAAATTAAAACTGATAAACTGATGAATGTAGCTGCCAATGTACTTTAGAAATAGGCTGTTCTGTAAAACCTGTAACAAAGTTCACTGATAACTGAAACAATGGTCAGTGGACCACACACACATCATCTAAACCACTTATCCTTCTGGGTCGCGATGGGGTGCTGGAGCCTATCCCAGCTGTCATCGGGCGGAAGGCAGGATACACCCTGGTCAGGTCACCAGTCTATCGCAGGGCAGACAGACAGACATACACATTCACTCACACCTAGGGGCAATTTAGCATGTCCAATTGCCCTGACTGCATGTCTTTGGCCTGTGGGAGGAAACCCACACAGACACATGCAAACTCCTCATAGACATGACCCACTGCGCCACCATGCTGCCCCGGTCAGTGGACCATCCTACCAAATTCATTTAAACTGCAGTCCCTCAGGAAGAACAAACATTTTAAGAAAACAATCAAGTGTTCAGATGTTTTGATGAAAAATATGATGATTTTCTTTCACTTGTTTCATATACCGGCTAGCATTTTTGAGTTCTGCTCAAAATTAGTTAATTGTCACTACCGAAACAGTTACTGCTGAAACATTTGGTAAAGTTTCAGAAGTGAAAGGTTATTTTGTTACTGACAAAATGTAATGCTTAGTCATTTGTTTTAATAAACGGTTAAAAGTCTGAACTCTGACTTTAAATTTCACACACACACACATACACACACACACAATATCTATGCCACTTATCCTCCTGGGCTGCGGGGGGGTGCTGGAGCCTATCCTGGAGCCTATCCCAGCACTCATTGGGTGCGTTCAGTATGCAGGAATGATCCATAGACTGTATGGCTGAAAGACTGTAGACACCAGCTCACCCAATGTTTCTTCTGAAATCAGAGTTATTAATAGGACGTTTGTCCGATTTTGCTCCACTTACAGCCTCTACTCTTCTGGGAAAGCTTTACCGTAGATGTTGGAACATTGCTGTGAGGATCTGATTGGATTTAACTACAAGAGCATTAGTGAGGTCAGGTACTGGTGTTGGACGATTAGGTATGGATCACAAACGCCAC